GAATGGAAGGTTATGCCCTTCGGTCTTAAAAATGCTCCCTCTGAATTTCAACAGATTATGAATGACATCTTTTATCCTTACAGTAATTTTATTATTGTTTATATTGATGACATTTTAGTTTTCTCTAAAGACATTGAGAGTCATTTTAAGCATCTTAATATTTTTAAAACTCTTGTTATTCAAAATGGTTTAGTTATATCCAAACCTAAAATGTCTTTATTTCAAACTAAGATCAGATTTCTTGGTCATGATATCGAAAGAGGAACGATTATTCCTATCCAACGCAGTATTGCCTTTGGTGATAAATTCCCTGACCAAATTCTTGATAAGACTCAATTACAACGATTTCTAGGAAGCCTAAATTATATTTCTGCTTATATTCAAGATTTAAGTCATTATACTTCTCTTCTTTATGATAGACTTAAGAAAAAATCTTGTTCTTGGACTGATAGTCATACTTTAGCTGTTCAAACAATTAAGAAAAAGGTGAAAAATCTTCCCTGTCTTATGCTTCCCAATCCCCTTTGGAACAAAATTGTTGAGACTGATGCCTCTAACTTAGGTTATGGAGGTATTCTTAAACAGATTGATCCCATTTCTAAACAAGAATTCCTTATTCGATTTTATTCCGGMAAATGGAAAAATGCCCAGCTTAACTACTCTGCTGTAGTTAAAGAACATTTTGCTATTGTTAAATGTGTTCTTAAATTTCAGGATGATTTATATAATCAAAAGTTTTTAATAAARACWGATTGTAGCTCTGCTCAATTTATGTTTAAAAAGGATTTTAAGCATGATGTTTCTAARCAGATGTTTGCCAGATGGCAAGCCCATCTTGCTCCTTTTGATTTTAATATTCAGCATATCAAAGGTAAAGATAATCATTTGCCTGATTTCTTAACTCGTGAATATCTTTCTTGATGTTTAGGTACCTTGGGGATCATTCAAATGTACGGTGTATGAGCTCTTACAGCTCTTACTCCTCTTATAGAGGAGCTGGCAGTTCTTCCCATGGAAGAGGCCGTGGTGGCAGACATCCCTCTMATAGAGGAAGAGGTCATAATGTAATTGCCCAGATGGGTAAACAAAAGCTTATAGCTTCTGACTTATCACATGATAAGGATAAAGATACTCCAGGATTCTTGGATGATATCCCAGAAGACCATCCGCTAGCCAAGGCATACCTTGATTATTCTAAAGAGAAAAAAGCCAAAGAATCTTTGGCAGATGCAAATTCTTTTGCTCATGTTAGTAAGGAAGATTCCTCTAATTCTCAGTTTCAGGAAACTGGAGAAAAAGAAGTTATACTTCTGCTTGAAGAAAAAGATCTTCAATGGAAGGATAATCCTGATTTTATTCTTCAAAGATATCTTAATAAGACGTCTTTTATTCATGGTTCTTTACGCCAACGCCAATTTTATGAAGGCTTACTTATTTCCACAAAATCTGTAGAAATAACTCATCATTCTTCTAATAGTAGAGATGAGATAAACGGAAATTTTAATTTTTCAAAACTTGTTATCAAAAAGATCATATCTTTTGAAGAATGGGGTTTTTCCCCTCTTGCTGAGCGAGAATGGTTTTCACCCGCTCATAAATGCAATTTCAAGTTTAATTATTGGGATTATATCCATGGTTTATCTAAAGTTCTACTTTATGATAACGAGAACAAAAGACATTCTTGGTTCTTGAAAATTTGTGAAAATTGCTTCCATTCACCGATACCTAATTGGTTCTTCTCCTGGTGGAAATTTTTTGGAACTAGTTCTTCTATTTTTCCAGATCATATGAAATCTTATATTAAAGATTGGATGTTATATTCTCCGACAGTCAATGACTGTAAAAAACTCTATCAAATTGATAGTAGTAATGTTTGCCTTTTCTTTATAGAATTTGGCATTCCATGGATTTGGAAATGGAAGCCAATATTTGGCTATGATCATTATATGATCCCTTGTCTCAAACGTCAAGGACTCTCAAAATATTGGGAGAAACTTGATCGTATTTGTCCCAATTCCTCTTCTATTGAAGGAGCTGATCTTTATGAGACCATCAACAAGAAAATTCAAAATTATAAGAAAGAATTCGAAGATCGCCAGTCGACCACTACCAGTTCGGATATTCCAAGTCCTTTCCAACAACTCTCCCAGAAATACACTGGTACGTTATCCAAGGACGAGATTGTTGATCTCTTTATAGAAAATATGAAGAAGGATCTGCATCAAAATATTTCTCAGCCTTCCGATAGTTCCATGAACTCTGATATCCAGCAGGATGCTCAAAGCGTCGAAGGCTCTGAGGAGCTAGTTATCTCCATTGATGAAGCTTTAGAGTCCCTAAAAGACTCTATAAAACAAAGTAAGTAACATTGTAGCCTGCTATTGCTTTAGTAGCCTTTTTGTCAAAAGTTCTTCTCTTTCGGCCTTAGTAGCCGACAACTTTTATAAAGTTGCTTTTTCAAAAGACTCTTTTGCTTTTATAAAGCAGAGCTCTTTATGCTTTTTAGCCAGCTGTCCTCAACAGCTGTCCTCAATAGGACTTTTTCTTTGTATTTATAGAGAGGCTTGTCTCTCTTATTATTCAGAGTTTTCTTAGGAGTGTTTTTGCTTGCTTTCTCCTTCTTTGCTTCCAGTATTGTAATCAAGTGTGGTGAATAAAAGAAATAAGACTAACAAGCTTGCCGACAGAGGTCTAAGCTTTTTGTAAGTTTCTTGTTCCTTCTTTTATATCTTCCAGTTTTTATTGCCGCCTTCATGGCTGGCTAAGTTAGGACAWTGAGTTAAAACAATTTTTGATCTGATATTTCAATAGATTTACATGGATTGGTTTATATGTTTATRATTTAGTAAAAATYYTCTMAAYMMCTAAGTCTACCTCTGAGATCTCTGAGACTGGTTGTCACCCGCTGAGGCCAAAGAGCCGTTTAGGGTATTTATAACCTTGGTTTGAGATTTGAGGCAAGTTTAGTTGTTTAGATCGTTTTTGTTAGATTTTGGGACATAGATGGTATCAGATTAATAGGATTGCATTCAAAAACATTGAGATATCCTAGTTAATACATGTTTCTTGTTTTATTGATTTTTTCAACAATGTTGCATCAACATTTTTCCAGAGATGGTCTCTTCCTTTATCGATTTTTTCTAGTGACGGTTTCTTCCTTCAATAATTTTTTACGGTGGTTTCGTATTAAGGTTCTTAATTTCTCGTTTGTAGTTAAAATTAGCATTAATGGATCCATTAAATTCTATCAACGAAGTTTATATGAGAGACGTTTTTTAATCCAAAGATCTGTTTGTTCATTTAGGCGACAAAGTCGATTCTTCAATGCAATCGTTGATTGTTGCAGGTGATGAAGTTTGCAAGAGTCCTAAAAGACGTTTTGATGAAGTTGATGTTGGCAATGATGTTGATTCATGTGATTTACCAAATGCATCCATATAAAGAATTTATAAACACAACCGTAATACATTTGAATTCATTCCAGATTTCATACATATTTCGCCCTGTATTCAAATTCATTTCAAAATGAATCTCATACTAATGCATTAAGATTATAATAATGCATTTAGATTCAAAATTGATTAAACAATGAAACAAGATGCATTCCATATACAATTAGATTCATTACTATAAACACAATAATGCAATTAGATTTATTACTATAATCACAATTAGATTCATTAGTATAAACACAATAATGCAATTAGATTCATTACCATAAACACAATGAAACAAAATCATGCAATAAGGGTGCAGGTATTGCCCATGTTAGAAAAGAATAGAAGAGAAGAGACTATCATTGTAAAGAATCGATGAACGAAAAAACCATCTCTGAAAAAAAAATTGATAAAGCAAGAGACGTGTATTAACTAGGATATCTCAATATTTTTGAATGGAATCCCATTAATTCTGAATAATTATTAAAAAAATCAATAATTATGTTATATTTAGAATTTTAGATATTACTCTTTAACAATTTAAAAAATGAAAAAAAAAGTATTAAATGAACGGCTTGAATTGAGGTTGTATTGTTTGTAAAAATGCGATTGTTTGTATTTGAATTATACCCTATATAAGGGTGTTCTTGCGTTCACGTAAAATGAATGTGTTCTCGTTTGAACCTCCACCTATATATATATATATATATATATATATGGGTTGGTTCAAATGTAAACCAAGTTTATTGTGTTAACTTTGTTAACCAATATTAGTCATTGATTCTTACAATAAACATTGTGATTAATCATATTAAAAAATTAATTTATTAAATTTACAATTTTACAAACATATGTGAACTAAGTGAAAAAGGGTATTTATATAAAATGTTATGTGCTTTTGATACCATCAGTTACCAAAACAGTAATATCGTTATCAAAGTGTCTTGAAACAACTCGGAATAGGTATGAACACAACATGAACAATTATGAACATAAATGAACACAATGAGAATAGCTGCTACATGAAATGTAAGAAATAAAAAACAGTTATGAATACAATATGAACAGTTCGTGAATAGTAGTTCCTTCATTATAGACACATTCAAGAGCCAACCACTATTGAGAAATAGCTAGGCTACATATGAACACAATATGAACAGTTTGTAAACAATAGTTTTTTCATTATGAACACAAATCGACATATACAAAATCTTTCAATCAGTTACGAACACATGTGAAACCTGTGTCAATTACATAACCATATGCAAGATGATGAACGACTCATTTGAATAGGTATAAACACATATGGTCTTATCGAGAGAGGTCTAGAACATAATTTGATATTCAATAATAAGTTAACAAAAATCATGAGATTTTATGATTTTGTAACTCTCAATTAATGATATGGAGTTACATAAAAAAAATTACATATTTACCTTTGTCACTATAATAATTGATTGAAAATGGTTAACAAATTAACACAATAAACTTGGTTAACATTTGAACAAGTTTCTCTCCTCTCTCTCTCTCTCTATATATATATATATATATATATACACACACACTAGCAGAAGAAACAGACAATACAAATCTCTCTTTTTCACACACAAGAATCGTAAATCATGGCTGTTGAATTGTTGGAGACCGTCAAAGAAGCCATAACTGCATACACCGGACTCTCTCCTAATGCTTTCTTCACTGTAGTCGCTTCTGGTATCGCCATCTATTACGTCTACTCCGTTTTATTCGGAGGGTCCTCCGATCATCATCCTCAACATAGGCCGAGGTCTTTCGAAGAAGATGTGCAGCCTCTTCCGCCACCGGTTCAGCTCGGCGAGATTTCCGAGGAGGAGTTGAAGGCTTACGACGGCAACGACCCCCAAAAACCTCTTCTTATGGCCATCAAAGGTCAGATCTACGATGTCACGCAGAGCAGGTATATTATCGTATGCTGTCTTTGCTATTATCGATTCTAGGGTTTTAATTTTATTTTTTGGTTGTGAATCAAGCTTTATAAGTTCTACTTTGCTGCATCTTTATTGCTCTTTCTGATATTATTCGTGCTTCAGCTTTTGGGGAAAAAGCATTATTCGTATGAGATTACTATCTTTTCTCCTCTGATTTGTATGTATATCACGCTAATACTTGTTGTATTAGCTTAATCGACAAGTTATGTTGATCTGGATATAGATTATGATCAAAATTAGGGTTTTAAACTTGATTTCGGTGAACTATGTTTATACAATCCCCATGTTCTTGATAGCTGCCTAATGACAAGAAGGTACACAGTATACGAAGTTGATGTGCTATTCATATACATTGACTTGGTAAAGTCAAAATTAATTTTATTAGGATTTTGGACAGTTGATCTTTATCAGGGCTTTCAATTGCCCCTTTTTTCACTCTGAAATCAAAAGCTACACAACAACTCAATCTGTATGGAATGCTTTTTTTTCTTGGCTCTGCAATTTTGTTATAGATGTTTATCGTATTCAATGTTATTGGTTTTAGATGGCTTTCTAACTATCCATTCAGCCATTATTAATATGAGCAGGTGTTGCTATTTTTGAGTCACATTTGTTCCATTTTGTGGAATTATTTGTGATAATTTCTGAATCTTCTTCCATTCGTGTTTGTATGAAATCAGAACGATGTTTGGTTTTCACCTACCGTTTCTTGATCAGTCATACTTGGAACAAACTTTCACCTACCATGTGTTGCAATGTTACAATCTTTGTTATTTACTCAAATTTAGGTACAGTTTATTAACTAATATTGGATACGAGTTCTTTTAGGGTAATAGTCGTCATCCTTTATTACAAATTCTCAATCTTTTGCCGTATCCCATTGGTATATTTGTTAATTCTTATAGTTTTTAAGATGATTTTATGTTTCCGAAATCAGTATTTCAGTAATGGGTATGAATCTGGGTACCATTTGTTTCAGGATGTTCTATGGGCCAGGTGGACCATATGCACTGTTTGCAGGAAAAGATGCTAGCAGAGCCCTTGCGAAAATGTCATTTGAAGAAAAAGATTTGAACGGTGATCTGACTGGTCTTGGTGCATTCGAGCTTGATGCGTTGCAGGACTGGGAATATAAGTTCATGAGCAAGTATGTCAAGGTTGGATCCATCAAGAACCCTGAAGCTGCACCAGAGCCATCAACCACAGCTACAGCTGAACCTGCTCATGGTTCAGGCGCCACAGAAGCTACAGAGGCCAAGGAAGAAACTGCAACTACAACTACAACTACAACTACAACGGAAGTCGGTAAAGATGACTAGTTTAGGATGGTTTAATGATTTTGAGCTTATTGTACGTTGCGGTTGGGCTATGACTCTTACGGTTAGGCGTTACTTAATGATTAAGATAATCGAACTTATTCCAAATTTATCATGTTTGAATAATGTGGAGTTTATTTAAACCAAAGAGATGGGCTTTAACTTTATGTTCAATGCCCAACAGTTTATACCCAATTTCTTCAAATTTCCATTTGATGAAATTAAGGGGCCTAGATGTAAGATTTTATAGGATCTAAATTTAGAGATTTGGAGGGATTTAAATTTCATTTAAAGTATGATTCTTGTCTGAGTTATTTTGATTGATGTTAAGTAGATGAATTATGAAGAGAAATAGGTCTTAAGGCCATAGTAGTTCGAAAAGATGCAATCTTGATGTTGTTCTCATAAAATTAGAAAGTTTGTAAAATTTGTAGTAAATAGCTCGTTTGTCAAAATCAAGTGTACGATAAGTTTCTAAAACCGTTGAGATGTCTACTATGATTCTTGGTGACACAAACGAAACCTAATTTTGGTTCTAGGTTGGCCAAAATCACGAGTCTTTGAAATTACTCGGATTTTTTAAGGGTATCAGCGCAATGATTTTATAAAAATGATATAAAAACAGGTATAACTTTGATTGAGGTGAATATTGACTTTCTGGAATCATAAGAGTTTTATTTAGGTATTTTATTCTAAAAGTAACGGAGATGTAAGATATAGCTTGGATTTTGTAACACGTTCAGATTTAGCATATTTACGTTTGGGTCGAGTTGACTTGAAACGTTAGGATCCGTATGTTATGAATAGTATTTGACCTTGTGGATATAATATGATATGTAGGTGCTCTTGAAGGTAGCATTGTTGACCCATGATCAGTTTCAGGTTACCTTCTACCAAGTGAGTTTAATGTGATTTTGAAGTTGGGATATATGAATGCTTGTATGAAAAGATATTTTACAAAAGATTATTTACTAACTATAAGAGTTAATCCGTAAAAGAACGTACTTTTTTTATGCATTTTAGTTAATATACGGTTATCTATTTTAATATAATAAAGGTGTAAAATGAAAATAAAAAATAAAAAAGTAAGAAATATAAAGTAATTAAATAACTAACTATAAGAGTTAAAATGTAAGTAAATATTAATTAATTTAATTCATTCTACATTTTACATTTTACATTTTACATTTTCTGTCGGGGAAAGCTAATGACACCTCTATACTTATGTAATCATTTTTTTTTTCTTTTTGTATTTTTGTTGTGTTTTTCTTATACTAATTTTTTTAATTATTTTATTCAATTATAAATACATACTATTACAAATATTATTTTTTACTCTATAAAAAACTAATACTAAAAAGTATTTTTTTTATATC